TCTGTACTCTGTCTCTTTAAAGACTTTACCCTTTTTCTTTTTAAGACATTAACTTTATTCTTTATATTCTTTTTCTTCTCTCTCCCAAGCCTACATACATGTACATTCATCCAACAGTGTCTGAATCTGTTTTACTGTGAATCTGTAATTTTTTTACTATCCAGGAGCATTTTTTAAAATGTTAAGCACTTCTTAAAAACTTAAGTTGCACCATGTACAGGTAATAGGGTACTGCCTGTGTCCTGCCCAGTCTAAGCCTTAACTGCACTGTTATTATGGCAATAACGGTAGTTCCTGCCTGAGGTCAGCAAGGAGCAGCAGCTCCTGCCTCAGATCCATTTGGTGCCCCTGAACCATTCACAGTTCCAGGCACACAGCAAGTCCACATTGGTGCACTCAGCAGTTTAATTCTGAGACTGAGTGTGTGGCACAGAAACTCTTTTCATCCAAGTTACAGCCAAATCTGACACGCAGAGCACTGCGCAGTCTGAACCGCGTCTCTGTATGACGGCAGGAATCCGCCATGCTCTTCCGCCTGCCTAAGCCTGATTCGGCCTTCTGCCCAGGTGCAGGCGGGAGCGCTGAGCCATCTGCATGGTCTCAGAGCACTCTCCTTTCCATCCCAAGTGGGAACAGAAACATCCAGTCCCATAAAAGCCTTGAAATGCTTTAAAGCCAGAGTTCACGCTGGCAGTACAGCCCCAGGAAGCCGCAGCTTTAAAATGACGCAGCTTTTTTTCTGCTGCTGTTGCTGAATCAGGAAATTTCTCTACAGCACGCCACCAACAAACATCAAAAATCTGTGTTAAACACTCTCTCCCTTATTTTTAAGCCTTCTCAGGTTTTTAAGTGGATTTAGCCCATCACGTCGGGCGCCATCTGTTGAAATAAGAGCGGCGGGGCTGCGTCCCCGGCACCCGGCCGCTCACATGGCAGGTTTATGCCCGACACATCAGCAGTGGTATTCATACTAAGTGCTTTGAGAATTTAATGAAAGATATTAATGATGCCTGATATTCCCATTATCCATCTTGCTTTTGTTAGAAGACATAGAAAACTCATTTTGACTCTTCAGGCTCAGGACAGAGAAGAGCATAGCAATGGCCTGTACACTTCGCAGAAGAAACCACTGCTCTGCTCCAGCCTCTCTTCATTATGGTAGAAGATAAGTTTAGGGTTTGTGTGTTGTCCAAGATTTTAGGAGCACGGAGGCCTGAGTTCAGGTTCCTAGCAGTCATGTGAGAAGCAGAACTTGACATCGTGCCTACATGATTCTCGCCCTTGGGATGTAGAGACAGGAAGGTTCCCTATGGCTGGGTGGCCATAGCTTCAGTGCAAAGAGAGACCCTGCTTGGAAAAAAAAAGGGGAGTGTTGATTGAAGAAGACAGTGAACACTGACCTCTATAGGCAACACACACACACACACACACACACACACACACACACACACACACAGAGAGAGAGAGAGAGAGAGAGAGAGAGAGAGAGAGTTGATACTATGACTTAACTATGAGATGAAATGAAAGCCAAACACCTAAACACTTGCTAATTAAAGAAGACATCACAAAACAGAAAGGAGCAACTCCCAAGTATTAAGAACACAACTGTAGAAAAATGCTGGGGAGGAAGCCATGACACGGAAGGCCAGCCTTGCCTTCACGCTGAGAACATTCCACACCTGCTAAGAGAAGTACCTGGAATCAGTAGCTTCCTGTGTTTCTTTCAATTCTGTGGTTGCACACCGTGACTTATGAAAGCTTCCAATGGGGTGTGACTTGGTTAGTTGATGAGAAGAGATGTCTATAGGGGATGGGGTAAAGCACGTTCGAGTGTGGGTCGGGAGGGTGTGACTTCATTTGGCTCCACAGCGCTTTGGGCTACTTTCCCCATGTTTTGGTGAGATGATGACTTCAGTAGATTAAGTCAAGACAGTCTGAAGTGTGTAGCCTTGTGCTGTGGCTCTTCTCCCACCAGAGGAATCTGGTTAAAAAAAAAAAAAGGAAGGACTAGTAATTCCAGTCAAATAATTCCTTAAAGGGATTCTTTTAAGTGCCAGTAGTGTTACTTGACCTTTAAAACAGCGTTTCCCACTTATTACTCTGACACGCAGTGGGTGTTTGGAAATAAAGGTTGGTCCTCTACAAATGCAGTAGGCACTCATACTTTTGGTTGTGAGCCTAGGCTTTAATGGCTGAGCCCTCTCTCCAGCCCTAGCTTGAATAGTTTTAATTGTAAGAAATATTCATTGAAATTCTTATTGAAAATTTGAATGAATAAATGAACGCCAACAAAGCTTTCAGGGACAAATCTGGGTCCGGGGTAATGAACTCTGGCTAACAAGGAAGGGGCTGCAGGCTCCTCTCTTGAGGCAAAATGCTCTCTTGTTCAAGGTGTCTGGTCCAGCAAATCGTGTCTCTGAGGGTAGCAGTTTTATTTACATTGGGAGAAAAAGAAAAGAAAAAGGAAGAAATGAAAGAAGGAAAGGAAGGTAGGAAGAAGAAAGAAAGCAAGAAAGAGAGAAAAGAAAGACTTAAAATTTGAAGTTGTAGTATTTGGCACATGCTGTGGGTTTTTCTAGTACACACACTCCCTGACTTGCATGGAAAAAGCTGCTTATGGTGCCCAGTGAGATGAAAACCACCCTGTGCCAGTCTGCTGTACTTGGAACCACTGCTCAACTGGCCCAGATTTGGTCTTGCTACATGTTTGGTTTTATTGAAACATTGTATTATTCATCCAAAGCTACATTTTAGGGAATATTATTAGTAAATAGCTGACTTGGCAATTTATATTAAGGGGAAAGTATCTGAAAACCTAGAACCCTGAATCTGTCCTTCCTAAAAACAAGCCCCCATACCCCTGCCAGAGTCCCTCAGGAAGTGGGAATTTGACCTGCTCAGACAATTTCTGAATGGTCTGAGCAAAACTGCCCAAGAACTTACTTTAGAAGTTGATACTCTGACTTGGCCAAGAAGGGCTAAATGAAAGCCAAGTGCTGAACCACCTGCTCATTAGAAAAAGTGTCACAGAGCAGAGTGGAGCAACTTCCAAGTGAACCGTAAAAATCCCAGCTGTGGAAGGATGCAAGAGGGGGGGGGTACTGGTGTGCAAGGCCAGCCTTGCCTTAACTCCGAGAACGTTCATTTTATTTCTTCCACACCTGTAAGGCAAGGGCCTGGACCCAACCATGTCTAGAATCCTTTTGGTGCCGACACTGCTCTATCCTGTGACTCCACGCGAGGCATCGGGAGGAAGGTTTCTAGCATGGCAGACATACAGGTAGAAATAATTGCTGTCTGAGTTTGACCCTCTCTGAATAAGGGACGCCGCTTTCCCACCATCTCCATTTCTTTGAGTCACTGTCTATAGGACGTCTGTTGACAAGAAAGAGATTCTTTGGCTCCTGTTCACATAATTTCAGAGGATGATGGGAGTTGGTGTCAAGGCATCCACTGGACTCTGTAGTAGATGCTGAGTCTACTTATCAGCACTCTAATTTGTCTGGTTCTTGACCTCCTGGGTGAGCAGTGAGGTCCAAACTCTGTCTCTTTTCTGTAAGTAGGTCTGCCTTGACTAGATGAAATCTAATTCCATGGAATTTCAGTACTGAAGAATTGGTTGATAGCAAGACCTTGTCTCAAAAAACGATCAGTCAAATTGTACACTTTTCTCATCTTAAAATAAAAAGAAAAAATCTGTTGAAAACTACAAAATCTCACTGCAGGAAAATTATACATATATTAATTTCAGAGGTTGCCTATACTTTCTGCAACTTACATTTGGGATAGCCCTTTGTTAAAAAGAATGAATTTCATCAGTACAAAACAATATTCTTCCTGAAGGGTTAGTAGCTTGGGTGTCAGAGACTCCCTGCAGGATCAGCAGTCAGGGAACCACTAGATTAGGGGTCAACATGCCAGGACAACTCAAGGTGAGGATGCCAACATGATAAAGACCCCCACCAAAATGTATGAGCTTAAAAAGCAGAAAACACATCCACAGGTGAAAGGTCCCCCAAGTTCCCTTTCTGCTCCATAAAACTTCAAGCCCCAGTGCGTGATCTCCACCTTCAATTGTTCTAATTAAAAACCGTTCTGCTCCTGTAAAGGGCAAGTCGCTGCTTCCTTCCCTTCCCACCCACGTTTATCAGTTCTGATCTAACACTCTGTGCCCCTCTTCAAGGTGGGAGGTCTCATCCATGTGGTTGTTGAACTTGAATTTCTGCCCCGCTGAATTCCACGTACACACGAGCACAGACTCTGGCTGTGAGAGGCGCACGCTCGTCAGAGAGCTTGGGACTGATGTTCCGGTGCAGGGTGGGGCCTGACCCAGTGCGCTTTACACACCTGTGTCCTCTCTCCTGAGTGTGGCTGTGTCACTGGCGCCGACTCTGTTCGGGTCAGACAATCCCGAGACTCTTCCGCTTGGACTTTTTTATTTTAACGAGTACCCTTGCATTTCTTTGACTTTGTGTTGATAAAAAAGACAGATTAGGTTACCCATTCAAAAATCCGAGACAAGATGATTCTTCTTGGCTTCTCATCTACCGTATCCAATTACCATTTTCTCTCGTAAAATGAGCAGCGCTGGAGTCAGTCTTCCACCTTTGCTTCTGGCGGAGACAAACACAAGTCCAAGTCTGGTTACTGTCTCCTCTGGCCTGGAGACATTCGACCTCCTGTGGAGAGGTTAAGAAACTGAGGGAAATCTACCAGGAGTTCTGAATTACTTGTATCCAGAGCCTTGTGCATAGGTGTGAAGCTTGGGAAGAAGTGTTTTATTTTGGTTTTTTCCTAGATTGGGTCAGGCTTTTGGTAGTATTCAATGTCTTCCTTTTCAAAAATACAAATATAAACACAGACACCCTCCCCCCCCCACACACATAGGCACACACACAGACACACAGACACACCCACCCACCTACACACATTAATAGCCAACAGCCACTTAAAACAGGTATCTATGGGCTGGAGAGATGACTCAGCGGGTAAGAGCACTGACTGATTTTCCAAAGGATATGTGTTCATTTTCCTAGCACCCACATGGTGGCTCACAACCATCTGTAACTCCAGTCCTAAAGGATCCGGTACTCACCTCTGTGGGCACTGCATGCATGTACATGGGTCACAGTCATATAGGCAGGCAAAACATCCACACACATAAAAATCAATCAACCTATCAATCAATCAATCAATATTTTGGAAAAAGGAAGAAAAGATGTATCTAAGTGAGGGAGGGCTGCAGGGATATAGGTGAAAAGGAGGCAAAAGTGAGCTAACTTCCTGGCCTGGTGGCTTTTTGTTTCCAGAAGATGTTTGGGAAAAAACAGCAAGAAGGCACAGGGGTGGGAGTCGGGTGGGGGATGGGAATGGGATGCGGGTAGAGGGGCCGTGGTAGTTTTTAAACAGGACCATGCAGGAGAAAGGGGCGGGCCAGGGTCTTACAGAATACCCAAGCCAGCATCCTCTTAGAGGACTTCCAGCCCTAGGCCTCTCACATCTTGAAGGGATAAAGTTTCCACTTTCTCTTCTGCTGTGGCTTGGTTTTTCTATCTTTCCCAGAAGCTCAATTCTTTTTCTGAGCTGAGAAGCAAACTCTGCAAACCCCTAGACAACTACCAGTACCTCCTTGTGCTAGAATTAATATGCCTTTGCAGCGTGAAATCGTTCTGAGTATTTCGAGATTAATAAAGAAAAATATTCTCTAATATAGCACATGCCAGTCTCTGGCTAATACCCAAAGAGGAGTTGGCCTCAAATAGAAGATTTTTACTAATTTATATAGACCCAAGGCTTCTGAATTCTTCATACACTGTCATCCTTAAACCTCTTTCTGGTCCTGGACAATTTAAATTGTGGCAGGAGGCTGCAGATGATGGGAGATTTGCACAGTTAGGCTATTGTCAGAATTCTTTCTTAACCACACCAGTGTTGATACCGAGGGCCTTCCTGCCCACCTGGCAGAATTATGTTTTCCCTGATGAAAGAGAGCACAGGGATTTGATGTGGCTGTGACCCTGAACCATCCATCCCCTTGGGCTGCTACTTAAGCTGTGTTCTTTGATATGGGATAAGCCTAATGGCAGGTGGTAAATCAGGGTTGTCTCCTTTTGTTCTGGAAATGAAGCTTAACTGGGGGGTCAGTCTTGGTGAACCAATGTTAGCAGAAACTTCTCAACACCCTGAACTTTAATGATGGCACAAAACTTTCACCCCCACAGTTCCTAACATGGCCGGTTAGGGCACTACGAATCTCGCAGGCATGTTGGAGGCAGAGCTCTTTTAGCTAAACTCTACTTTGTGGAACTTAATATTTCCTAAGTGGGTTTATTAGTAAATCCTTTATAGCGACAATTTGCCAATTCAAGTTTCTCCTGCATTGCCCTCACGTAAGGTCTATGGAACTCCATCTGAGAAACCATTCATGTCTGTCAGTGGCACTTGTAGACTCAGGATTTTGGTATCTAAAAACCGTGATGTTGCTATCTCAACAGTACTCTAGGCTTCAAATAAGAAACCCCCAAGTCCCAGAAATGGACGGACCCAAAGCGGCACTGATACCAACCTTGTCTTGTCACAGCCTTGTCTGTTCAGGCAGGGAGACATCTGTGGGGCTGTGGCAGGGTGGGTGTGTACTCCTGGCTTCCCTGAGGCAGAGTCCAGGAAGGTGGATCAAGGATAGAGACAAAAGCCTCAGAAGCACCAGAAACCACTTAGACCCCAACCTTCGAAAGTCACTGGGGTCACTAGCCATCTCTGGACTTCTGGTTGGCATCTGTGGGGTCCGCTCCCCCAGTGGCTGCCATCACCAACCTTGGGGCAGCCCACTCAAGCTGCCACTGAAGATCTGTTTGCGGCACCACACTCAGCGTTCCCCTCGTTCACGTGAAGTTTCTAACGTTAGTACAAAAGTATCTCAAGTGACTTCATTTTGCGTTCTTCCCTAGGAGCTTGTAAAATGTCAACGCACATGAGACATCTCTGCTGCAGGTACAGGACTGTCCTCCGTGACTCATGGCGCTATTCCGGAAACACCTCCCTGCTAGGAGACCGAGGCTCAGGACCTGACTCTGGCCTTTGGCAACCCCATTTCCGCCTTTAATCCCCAAATAACGGTGTGCCCCAGCATTTACCATTTGGTTCAGTTATATTTCATCTGTATTATTTCTGGATTCCAAATCCGCTGGCTTCCCAAGATTTATTTAGAACCTCCTTCTCAATGGCGCTTGGGAAGTTATCCAAGAAAATGTGCATAAACCGAGTAGCAAAGCGTTTACCCCCCACACGGGCTGCTAGGAGGTCAAACCCTCTGCCTTCTTTTAGTCCCCACGCTGTGAATGAAGGAACTTCTCTGGTCTGCTTAGTGCCACGTTTTCTGCTTTATAAGTGTGTTTTTTTTCTGTCTAAAATACCCCCCAAGTACTGTATTAACATACAGCATAGTGCGTGACTTACTCCGCGGCACGCCCTCCTGAGAAAATATGTATCCACTTAGTCTGTTCAGGCACGAACACACTGTTGGCTGAGTTCAGAGTCTCTGAGTCCTTGCTACAGATCCAATAAGAAACGCAGAGGAAGGAAGACGCCAAGTTGGCTGGCTAAAGGCAGCACTAACTCCAGGGGCTCCTAAGAACTTACCTTGCCTTCAGAGAGCAGTGACTCAGCCTTCACCAACAGTTTGGGACACTTTTTAGACCGCGGAAGGATTTACGGTTCTTTGAAGATTCCCAGTGCCAGCTCGCATCTGTGCCCGAGGGTGCTCCGTTCAGCTCGTTCCCTAACTCTTCCCCTTTCCATCCTGGAAGTCATCACCCATCAATCGGTCTGTCCCTTAGTTCAGGGCGTTGCTTCACCTTCAGGTCAGGGCACATACCCACATAATCACTTTCATTTGGCGTATGGACATGACTTTGAGAGAAAGCCAAGCCTCAGCAGTGCAGAGTGTGCTGTTGTGGAAGAGAGGGACATCCCCTACCATTTTTTCCCCCTAGGTGATGAGCGGGTTGGGTGAGCTGGACCTTTTCTGTCACTTTTGGAAACGACTCTGGTTTTCCTACCTTAAATGTTCGAGTACAAGTTACACTACTACAGATATTTGTAGAAAAACGCAACCACGCCTTTCGGACTGATAAGTAATTTAAAAATAATTTTATCCGTCTACAGATTCTTCGTGGCTTCCTCTTTCCTCCAGCCTTAGCAACATCTTGGTGATAACTGAAGTGCCTACGATGAGGGCTTGAAACCGCCCCCAGAGAATCATGGGGAATTGAATCAAATAGGCAAATGCCATCTGAATTAGGCCAATTTGAAACTGCTATCTCATTAGCAGGATTGCTAAGAGACTGCCACAGCCCAGTACGGGGGCGGGGGAAGGCGAGCAAACACGGTGAATATTAACCAGCCTTGGGAGCTTCAGCATCGGAAACATGAGATCAAGCTTGTGTTTTCTAATCTTACCTTCTAGTATGTAGAAGTCCCAGTGGTGCCTGGATTTCCGTCACCCAGGCACGCTCACTCTTTGTACTAGACATTATCGCCCTCTGCTGGTATACTGGTGTATCTGCATGGTGAGCTGAATTCAGCCCGGCTACAAACCTGGCTTTCTGTCTCATCATGTCATGAACTACAGAATTCCATAGACTGGTCGTCAAGCAAGACACAGTGGAGAGAATAAAATCCTGTCGCTTCTGTCATCTTAAATAGCCGCACTCTGTCATATAATTATAGTTACAGAGGGCATTAGATAGCAAATAGGTAATCATGTGAGAATATAAAAGCATAGACGTGACCTGTATACACCAGACTCAGGGATGAGGTGTTTTCAGTGTTTTACTTGTTAAAGAGAAGATACTAATACTCATAGGACAACAAATTTGGGCTTGGTGGAGCAGACATTATAAAAAATAAAACAAATTGATAGCTGGGAATCTGGGAGATGAAATCTGTCCAGATTCAGCGACTAGTGTCTTCAAGAGAGAAAAGAGGGGAGTTTGACAGGGGGGTTCAGAGACACAGCCGTGCACAGATGGAGACAGAGGCTGGAGAGATGCAGTCACAGAGAGCCAGGAGTCCCTGGGAGCCCAGAAGCGCGAAGGAGGCAGGTGAAGTCAAGGGCCCTGAGAGGGTCTGAGGACCGCTCACGCACTGACTTAGGACTGTGGACTTCTAGACCGTAGGGATGTTCCCCCGCTGTGTGGATGGAGATTGTTGCAGTAGCTTAGGAAATCAACAAGATTTCCTGTCATTGCTCCCCAATTATTCTCCATCTCATTAGTCATCAACTACAGTATGTGGATTCTGCCACTGGTGAACATATTGTATACCAAGCCCTATTTGTAACAAGTCTATATTTTCCAGAAATTGTTGAGAAACATTTGGTGATGGTGTTTTCTTCCCTGAGGTAGTGTCTCACTGTATAGCCCTGATTAGCCTGGAACTTGATATGATGCCCACCCACACACAATGGTCATATTCTTAAGAGCTAGGCACTTACTCCTTTAAAACACATGAAATTGTATTTCTAAAGTTTGTGAGCCAAACAACGTGTTTCCACAAGGACCAGCTCGGCCTCTGTCACAGCACAGCATCAGGCTGAGCTCTGGGCTTCAGTTCCTGGTGTTGGGGACAGAAGGAGAAAGGGAGTTGCTTCTCCCTTTGGGATGCAGAACCACCCAGGCCCTGACCTGTTAATCCAAGGACACTGGGACTTAAAGAGAATAGTGGTGTATTTGCTACCTTCCCTTCTTGCATTCAGACAAACTTGGAATAATCTCCCTCCCTCCCACCCTCCCTCCCTCCCTCCCTCCCTCCCTCCAAACCACCCACCCCCACCCACCCACCAAAAAAACAACACCAACTGGCACATGCAAATGCCACATTGCCTGTGTGGAACTCCAAGGACAACTTTAGGAAGTTGGTTGTTTCCTGCCATACAGGTATTGGGGCCTGAGCCCCAGCTGCCAGACTTGGTGTCTACTGCCCTTACCCGGGAGCTATCTTGCTAGCCCTGACATTTTAGAATATTTTTACTCATATTTTGATAAGTTCATAAATTCAGTATCTTGATCACTTCTACCTCAGATCCCTGCCCCCTCACTTACTCTGGCCCCCAACACACCCCTTTCCCCTTCTTTAGAAATATTTATTTATTGCTACTGTGTGTGTGTGTGTTTGTGTGTTTGTGTGCACCATGAGTGTGCGGGCCCGGGTGGTACCCGTGTGGGGAACATAACACAACTTCGTGGAGTTAGTTTTCTCCTTCACCATTATGTGGGTCTGGGGATTGAGTTCAGGTCTCTATGTTTTTGTAACAAGTGCCATTACACACGAAGCTGGTTACCAGCTCTCCTCCTCCTCTTTCTTCCCCTTCTCCTCCCGCTCCCTCTCTCTCTCTCTCTTTCTCTCTCTCTCTTTCTCAATGCAGTGAGTGCTACCTCCGTGTGCATGAGTGTGGAGCTCTCCACCATAGCTCGGCAACCTGCCAGAGGTCAAGCCCTTGAAGAAAAATACCTCCCTCTCACCCAGAAGCCAATTGCCAATGATTCTTCAGCTAGGGGTGGGGCCCTTATCTTCGAGCTGGAATGCTTATTGGTTTGATCTTGAGCAAGTATTGGGCAGGTAACCATAGCTGCCTCATCTGGGAGAGCAAGACAAAGAAAACCTGGGCCTAGTGTCAGGAATTGGAGCTGGAGGTTGTGGAGGAGCAGCCCCCCTCCAGAAGAACAGCTGAAAGATATTCCCTTACCCTTGCTCTCTCATTCCCCACAAGCTAACCAAGTAAATGGCGCTGCTGTTTATCCTTGGCACCCACAGCTGTGTAGACGGGCAGGAGCAGATGGCTTCCCCTGCGGGCAGGAGGGTGATCTGTACGGGTGTTTGGAAGTAACGGTTGTCCACACAGGAACCCATGTTCCCATTTGCTGTCTTTGCTATTGAGCTCTCTGGACGTGTTTAACACTAATTATACTGCAAATAGGACGGAAAAATTGTGCTTACTCGGCTGTACTTCTTGGATGTCTGTCTGACAACATGAATGTGGATCACGTTTGCTGTATTTAATTGCCACCTAACAGTCCCTTGTATGAATCCATCGAACATTATTCCCCCTACTAAATATTGAACTTTCATATCCAGATTTTTAGTATTAAAAATCGCCATGTATAAACATTTGTACTTATCAATGTCTTTAATTTTTTGTAGCGGTAGATTCCCCAGAGGAACTGATTGGCAGGAGAGAATATACACGTAGATCGTATTTCCAGTTACTTTCCAAACACGTGACCGTGCGTCTTGCCAGCAACACGAGAGAACGATCCTCTGCCTCGCCGAATTCACTTGTTTTTCTCATTTTAACCTTTAAAATTTTTCCTAGGTCTTGGAAAGTCTCCTGGGCTCTCGTTTACAGGCTTAGATTTTGGAAACAGCTAAACCTGTTTTAAATCCTGCCGCTGCCCATCTCTTGCTTCGTGGTCTTGGTAACATTCATTTCTTTGCTAAGTCTTAGGGTTACCAGCTGTGAAATTATTGCAATGATTAAATAAGATCACCCATGTAAAGTGTATAACAAACTCTAGTAGCTGAGAGAACACAGGGTAGCTATTATTCTAATTTGTAATCTTAGAAAGGGCTGGAGCTGTACTAAAGGGTCACTGTTGTATTGTTCTCGACCAATGAGTGTTTACCTTTGCTCACAAATCAAGTTTAATTAAACCACTACTGCGTTATATTCTAAAATGTAATTAGTTGTACACATTAGTGGGTCTCACAGTGCCATTTCCGTGCATATAGACGTGTGCTTTGCTTTGATCCAACCTCCCAAATGATTTTCTTGTCCCCCTTTCCTGTGGATTGCACGGCTTTGTTCTGTGTGGCTGGAGAACACACCACTGTGTTTGTGTACTTCATTTTTTCTCTCTCCATTTGTCTGCTGGTAGAGAAGTTGGAGGATTCTATTCTTGGTGATGGTGACTAGAGCTACGACAGCCCAGACTGAAGCTTCCTCCTTCCCCCTCTCTATCCAAGACAGGGGCTCACTATAGAAACAGCCCTGTCTGGCCTGGGGCTTGCTATGTAGCCAGGCTGGCCTTGAACTCATAGAGATCCTCCTGTCTCTGTCTCCCAAATGCTGGTAATAAAAGTGTGCACCACCCTACCCATTTTCATGTATCTGTCCTGGAGATTGTTTTCAGTCCCTTCTGATATTACCCAGAAGTGGTACAGCTGAATCATAGGATCGTTTTGCTCTGGTTTTATGAAGAATTTCCAGACTGAGTTCCATAGAAGATATACTAATGTACATTATAACTTTCCCACAGTGTGTAAGGAAAGTTTCCATTTTACCTATGTCTAAACAGCATTTTTTATTTTTTATACTTTGGGATAATATCCATGACTGGGTGAGATAGAATCTTATTTATTTATTTATTTATTTTATTTAAATTTATTTATTTAATATTTTATTTTTATTTTTGTTCGCATTGGTGTTTTATCATGGATGTTAGGTCTCCTGGAACTGGAGTTACAGACAGTTGTGAGCTGACATGTTGGTGCTGGGAATTGAACCTGGGTCCTTCTGGAAGAGTAGTCAGTGCTCTTAACCTCTGAGCCATCTTCCCAGCATGAGATAGAATCTTAACAGATTTGATTTACATCTTCTTCATGGCTAAAGATGTTATATATTTATTGCTCATTTGTACAAAGTTCTTTTTAAAATGCAGGGTCTCAGGGTCTCATGTGTCTAGAGTGGGTTTAAACTTGGTATGAGTTTGGAGGAAGGTCTTGAACTTCTGACCATCTCGCCTCCGTTTTCCCAGTACTGTAACTATAACACGTGCCGTGACACTCCATTCAGGTTAAGGGTGGGACTGAACCCAGGGATCTGCAAGTGCTAGGCAAGCACTGTGCAAGCTGAACTCCATTCCCAGCTCCAT